TAAAACAGCTCTGCTGGTGTTCTGGTCTCTTCATGGTCCGACATGTTAGAGCCAAATGAACCAGCTGGACTCTGAGAACCAGGTTCTGGTCTCCTGATGGGGCCCAGAGTCAGAACTAAACCAGGTTCTGGTCTCCTGACGGGGCCCAGAGTCAGAACTAAACCAGGTTCTGGTCTCCTGATGGGGCCCAGAGTCAGAACTAAACCAGGTTCTGGTCTCCTGATGGGGCCCAGAGTCAGAACTAAACCAGGTTCTGGTCTCCTGATGGGGCCCAGAGTCAGAACTAAACCAGGTGAAGCTTCATTTCAGTTCCAGGCTCATAAAAATCTGGATCAGTCTTCCTGAAGACGTGAGACAGAACCCAACTCTGAATGTTTAAATCCAGATGAAAACGCTTCTGTTTTCAGATGGAGACTGGATGGATTTTATCTACTCTCTTCACTTTTCATCTGTCTAATTTTTATTATTTCTCTTTTCTGGTTTTTATGCTTTTAAATTCTCTGTGAAGCACTTTGAATTGTCTCGTACACGAAATGTGCTGTAAAATAAACTTGCCTTGCCTTTCTCGACTTCTCCAGCTTCGGCAGTGTTGTGGTAGAAAAGGTTCTTTTGATTCGTCCTCCTTTTTTTGGGTTCGAATTAGAGTTTCTAAGAATGCATTGGAGTGCTTTTGATAACCTTCAAAGTCCAAAAACAGGCAGAAGAAGAAGAATGGGCCTAATCTTCAAACAAAGGCACGTTGGTGGAATCTAAATCTTTCCATTTGGATCAAATCAGTGGAGAAAGAAGGATCCTCCTGATGGGGAAACCTCTTTTTGAGCCTCCTGGCCACAGGTTTATGACACATGCGATCTGTGCTTGTGGGATAAGCCTCGACTAATGAGAGCAAAGCTATAATAGTTTAGTTATCCACAAAACTGCTCCACGGCTTCGGGGGGGAGGACGATATTTTACAGGCCTGTCCTATTAAAGCAAGAACTCTTAAGCGTTTTTAAAATCTTCTGAGTCTTATTTTCAACCCAAAGCAGCCGTTGGAGGAGATGAAAGGTGTCCTAAATTGGACATCGGGCACCTTTTAAAGTGGAGCTTTGTGTCATGGCACCAGACTAGATCTTCTCGGGTCCTTTTTGGCTTCTTCCTACAATCGACTGTAGGGATGGGACGGTTTCTGAAAACCCTCTGAACCGTTGGGTTGGACTGTCTCGGTTCGGTTCGCGTGTGTTGCGTTCGGTTCCTGCTGCTCCTTTTACTCAGAGGGAAGCGTTTACACTCCAGAGCAGAAGGGGGCGCTACTGCGCCCAAAGCCAACCACCAGTAGGAAACAAGAAGAAGAAGCAAAGCAGCGTAGCCGATAAAAATCCAACGCGCCAACAGCAGTTTCTAGGTCTGCTGTATGGACCACTTTGCATTTAGAGGGAAGCACATGTTGGAATTAGCTCTGTTTCCTCTCTTTCAATGGCAGAATCTCACCTACTTTTAACCTCAGACTGTCACAATAATGTATCAAATTTCAGACTGCTTTTTTCTTTCAGTTTTAACCTGACTATACGAGACATAATAGATTTTCCTAACAATCAACATATACCGAACCGAACCGAAAACCGTGACCACGAAACCGTGAATCGAACCGAACCGTGGATTTTGTGAACCGTCCCACCCCTAATCGACTGATCCTCGAATCTTTAAATTGTGATTGTTGAAAACGCTCCTAGCGGCGGCCTAAATCTGAGCCGTATGGCTGCTTTCCCCCCCGCCGTCCCGGGTCTGAATTAAGAGAGACTAATGCCCTTTTTGAAAGATGGATTAATAACCTTCGTTTGCTTGCTCCGGAGCTGCTGGAGGTCCGGCGTCCCGCGGCTCTCAGACATGAATTTATTCTCTGCTGTCCTTTTTGGAGGACGTCCAGCGCGTGATGAATTAACCCCCGAAAAAATCTTCTGGCTGCTGCAGCTCCCCCCGCCCGTAAATCCCTGTTTTTAATCATTTTTGCGCGCTCGTGAACAATTCCCCGCCTGGTGTCCTCAGACGGGAACTAGTTCCTGTCCTCACGTCGCCCCGGCAACATCTGGGAGACTCTTTCTTTCTTTTCAAACCTCAAATGGAGGTTGTCTCTTGAATTTCCCCTTGGGGATCAATAAAGTATCTATCTATCTATCTATCTATCTATCTATCTATCTATCTATCTATCTATCTATCTATCCTTCTTAAATGTTTCTGTACATAAACAACCCTTTTTTGATGATTTGAGCTCAAATCTGATGCTTGTATTCTCATATTTATCAGTCATGAAAAGTTTTTAAAAAACAGTAAGAACTATTTTTTGTTCTCATGTTCACATCTATCTATCTATCTATCTATCTATCTATCTATCTATCTATCTATCTATCTATCTATCTATCT